GTCAATATTAGCAAAGGAATAATTTTAGGTAATAAAACATTTACCCATGATTAATAAGATTGTGATCTAAAATTGCAAGTACTGTGTGTATTTAGCTCCATTAGCCTAACAAGTTAAAGAACACAAGACAATAAAAAAAAATAGAAAGAGACACATGTATACTAAAGGAACCGCCCCCCAACCACCCCTGTATTTTTGCATTCTCGGGGAGTACTCCTACATTTTAGACAGCGGTCATCCAATGTTGGCAGTTGTGGAGATCAGATTAGCATAGCACAATCACCATAGGCTACATGGTGATTCATCTTCAAAATACAGGCTAAGTGCCCTATTCCAATGTTTGCATTTGTTATCATTGTAAGTTTTTTAATTATTCATATTTATTTATATTTTTTTTTATCTTGTAGACAACTCAGAGGACATCTATCGTTTTGTTTTTTTAGATATGTGAAATAAATCTTAATTTAATGTAAATATTCCTATTTTTGAGTGTCCAATACCATCGGTAACCTTTTTTCTAAATATTCTATTTTGAAAATGCTTATCGGCTGATTAAAGTTTGTTACTTAGCCAGTATGTGGAGCACTCACAGATCTTCATATTTAGGTGTATCAATACCCATTTTTTTTTGTTTTGGATGGAGTGATCATAGATTAAAACAGCTGTCAGGGAAAATCTGTCAAACAGAACCACTGAGTACCAGTAATACCTGACAGGAGTTTCCCAATTCTATCCAAAACAAAAACAAAAAATGTTTTTTGTATAGATACACTTAAGTACCTTAGGGCCCATTCACACCAAAATTGGACCTCAGTTGCAAGTCAGCAGAGGTCTGTTGACTTGCAGTTGAACCTTCCATTTTATATCCATTGCAGTTTTGTTCAATCTTTATTGGCAGGTCAAACTCCTCACTAAGTGTGTTTAGGAACTTGCGCTACGTTGCGTTAATGTGTTTTTACATATGTTGCGTTACATTGTGCTGAAAAAAAAGTAGTGCATGTTCTACTTTTTCAGCGCATTGCAACACAGTGCAACACATCAGTGTGAACTGGCCCCATTCACACCCATACATTTTTGGATGCCAATGCAATGCAACAGATCTGATGTGAATGGGGTCTTAATGATTCTATGGCAGAACAGCCAAGTACAAATCATGTCAGAAAATCACTTTCAAGCAGACTTCACTGTAATAACTCAAAGAATAGCTACTAAAATTATGTAACTGTTTTTTCACTAAGATCTTTAGCAAAAGTGTAAACATTTTTATACATGTCTGTATATTCCTTTAAAATTTCTGGGAATACTAATGCTCGAAGACTGGATTAAATGCTGTGTTTTTTTTCTCCTGTGCAAGCGAAGCAAGTTTATTTTACAGTTGCTTGTATAGTCTCCTTACAGAGCGAGAGATGGCGAGATTAGACATAATGATTGAAATACCATTATATTTATATTCCATTTAGAATAAATGCTCCATCTAAAAGCAGAGCAGCCTCGAGTGTGATGACTTGAAACACATTCCTAAGTAAATGTCAAGAAATGTTACTTTAAGGATTATAAATGTATAACCACTTTCGTCTCTCGCTGTTTGCGTTCTTTGCAATCCACGCCTAGAATTTGTAAAGTGTGAGCAATAAAGCCAGAGACTGAAACAATCTGCAAGTGGCAAATTGTAGGTGTGACACAATATTCCACGCCCAACACTAGTGTCTACACTCTTGTCTTTATAGTGGCCTGGAGCCGGGAGTCAACAAATGATCTCTTGATAAGGGTCTATAAGGCGGAAATACTGTCCAAAACATGCACAGTTCTTGGGAAGAAGAGATTTCAGACAAGATTAAATATGACCAGTAGAACTGTTTGTACACAGGAAATGTGATGTGGCTCCATAAAGTTAACATTTGCTGAACAACTTAGTGCGTGTAACCATGAACTAGATAAATCCTTCAAATAAAAAGATTTAATAATAAAACACTTCAAGTGTATGTGGAGCAAAACCTTTTTTTATGCTTTTGATGGAGGGAGGAAGAATTTGAACCCTTGTCAGCTTTTTATTGCTGTCTTTGTCCCCACTGGGGAATTTCACCCTCTCTTTTTTTTCCCTGGTGACTGCTGTTAACAAGGCAAAAAAATGGAAATCTAAAAGTTTAGGGTTTTTTGTGACAAAAGAGCAGATTTCCCAACTTCAAAATTAAACTTGCAGGGATGTTAAAGTAACACTAAACTCAGGAGTTAAATCTTAAAAAATAAATTCATGTTCCTTAACTATTAACAAAAATGTCTCTTATTTGTGTATCACTCGGCTGTAGATCCTCAAATCATCTCTCAATTTGTGCTGACACTGTCCTTCCTTCTGGAGGGTGACTACTTTTGTTCCCCATGGTCCCTGTGTGTTGTAAAGTAGATATCGCTCCAAGCTGCGTTCAGCTGATCGAAAGTGCAATGCTCTGGCCCCTGCAGACTCTTTCTCCTGAATGGGCTACAAGTGCGGTAACGTCACCACACTTGTGTTTCATTGAGAACTACAAGACCCCTCTGCCGTGGTGAATCTCCATTCACAGATCCTTCCACTACACAGATCCAGTCAAATTTGCAATCTGACCATGCTTCATGTTATATCCTGAATGTGGATGTAATATGAAACATGGTCAGAAAGGAAAACTTAACCTTTAATGTATTTTAACAGACATTTATTTGTAAAATACTCCAATAATATTTCTATAAATGTATTAAAGATAGCCATGTAAACCTATACTGTACTTATTAGTTCATTACCAATTCTATCAATAAAGGACATGCTAGGCACCCAAATATATATACATTGTTTACTTGTTCAAAGAAAATAGAGCAGATTCCTCCATCAATGCTTATGGGCATGGATGGAGCAATCCCCTGCTTTTTCCACTATATTCTAACATCTGCCGCCGAATGGAGCCTTGACTGCAAGCTCCGTTTGGCTGAGAATTTTCCAAGCTACTACTTCAATCAGCTGATTGAGGGATTCCGGGCAGAAGGGTGTCAACAGCGGCACCCACTGTGCGAACTATGGCCGGTTCATCAAGAACCGGATAAAATTTGCGCCATGTATACCCAGGGCTGTGTTTAATATTGATTGGACCCTAGACAAACATTTTCTTGTCCCGCCCGTCCCCGTCCCTGTCATGCAATTTTGTGTCATCTATCAACTATATACTAACATTTTAGACCACAATATAAATAGCTGATCTCCTGTGTATTTTATTATTATTTTATAGTTTATTTGCTGCTGGTGATATGACTGACTTGCTAACAATAATTACAAATATAAGCAAGGGGAAATTCAAAAAAATACATTGCTTTAGGTACATGTAAATTATTGGACCTAGTCTTCCAGTCATCAGTTTTAGGTGTACTGATACAGAGAGGGTGAACAGTCGCTTTCAGCTTTCTCCATTTCCAGACTTGCTATGGCTTGAAGTCTGTTTTTCTTAGTGTGGTACTGAAGCTGGCCGTACACTGCTTGAAATTCAAGCTGTGGGTGGCCCTGCTGGCAACTTCCGGCTCAATAAAAGTTGATTTTTCAATCGTTTTTGTTTTTTTGATGGTGGTGAAAAATTGTCAGCTAAACAGTAACTGCAGCCAATCAACTGCAGTCACTTGTTAGGTACACTGACAACTCTGGGGGCCAGTTGTCAGAATACAATAGATGGCAGGGAAAATTCCTCCATCCATGCCGTTTATGGTGGATGGAGGAATCTATCAGAGTTCTTTCATTTAGCCCACAGGTATGGCCAGCTTTAGGCAAGCTAAACCTGGGAACATACGATTACAGGGCCGTCCCTTTAATGAGGTAGCCTGAGGCTGTTGCCTCAGACAGCATCTCCTTAGATCACGTGGGGGGCTGGCAAGCAGAGCGGCACGGCTGCTCTACTGCACAATGTTTGGAGTTTGCCTGCCGCCTGTTTTCCGGCCAGAGCATCCCAAGTTTTGAAGAACTGGGCAGGGAGAGGGTGTAAGTGCCATACACATGTCCCTGCCCAGCTCATAGCAACCTGGGACACTCTGGTCGGTGTCCCGTCTAGCTCCTGGCAACCAGTGACGTCACTGGTTGCCTGGAGCTGAGCGGGACGCCAGCCAGAGCGTCCCAGGATGCAGAGCCGCTCTACCCTGGTTGTGTGCACCACCAGGCGGCAAACAGGCAAAGGAAACTGCTGCATGGTTATATTTTTTAACCTGCAGGCTGAACGAAAAAAACATGACAGATTCCTCCATCCTCGCTAAACAGCATGGATAAACGAATCACCAACTGCTTCTACTGTATTCTAAAAGCAGTGCAGATCACTGTCAGAGGATTGGCTGCAAGCACCATTCAGCCAGAACATTGTCAGCGAGACAGTAGATCTGTCCATGCACCTATTTTTTTTTTAAATTAAACAGAATCTTCCTTCCTGGCTGGAGAGATGGAGGAATCGCCCTCTGTAACTAATGTATTGTGACATTCAGTTGTCAAAATACCTGAACAGTGCCAGCATCTGATTGAATGCAGGAGCAGTTGGGACGACAATTATCTGTCAGGCTCTTTCGATTTTCCAGTCCAAGAATGTTGGGCAGGAGCTGGCATACAGAGCCACCTACTGAGTGAATTTCGGCCAGCTCATCATTTAATTTCCTCAGTTTGTGACAAGCTTAATTGATGGAAAATCTTTCTTAAGGAGCCCCAGAAAACAGTAAAAACTGGACAGGGGTCGTCTTCCTTTCCCACTCAGAATACTAAAGAACAAAATGTAATTCCATAATGCTGTTTGTTTCAGTGACAAAACCTTATTCATATTTCTGTCACACATCCCCCTCCCTTTTAGATTGTAAGCCCTCAAGGGCAGGGCCCTCCTTACCATCTTGTCTTGAATTGTATTGTGATTGTAATGTCTTCCTTAGATTGTAAAGTGCTGTGCAAACTGTTGACGCTATATAAATCCTCTATAATAATAATAATAATATATCCTGTCTGTTTGATCTTATTTCAGAACTACAGCGAGACGGAAGCATAGAGACACTAAGTAACAGCTCTGGATCTACCAGCGGTAGCATTCCACGCAACTTTGATGGTTACAGGACGACTCTGCCAAGCAATGAGGGTCAGCCTCTCAGCCTCTTCCCATCAGGACTTCTATAACATCAAATAACTGAAACAGTTTCATACTTACTATTCAGACTTTCAAGCAATTGAATGCATAATGTTCCCTTTTGTTTTTTTCTTTGTATACTGTATCTGTTAGAGTTCATTATTTGCATAGAACATTAGGTTGGAAATAAGAAATGCAGTGCATTCCTTTTTGTCTTTACTAGGCGTCATTGATTAGGTATTAGGATTCGCTTTAAACACTAGTATTACTGAGACAATCTAAATGTGACTTCTACCTGCCTGTGTATTTTTTTGCAGTGGCATGACATACACTGGTGATACTGGCATATATATTTATTTAGAGATATAATTTAATGGGAAATGCACATTACTGTGTGTAATATTACTGTACTGAATTTAATAGCAAATATATCTGAATCTTGTGTGTTTAGCTATACAAAACTGTGCTGATGGTTCGCATTTGACACACATTATGGGTGTGACCGTTGTGTCTCCATTTTGTTTTAATAATTTTAGATTATCAAGGAGTGATGTGGGTTTTTTTTTAAAGTAGTATTTCAAATGACTACATATTGGGCTATTACCTTAAAGATCTCTTAAACTGATATGCATTCCGCCATCAATATGAAATCCTAATCTACTCATATTCTTTCTTTTCTTTTGAGGGTTTTTCCAAGTACTCACATAAAGACTAGACTGGGTGATTCTATCATATACTTAAAGATTTTTCATGGTATATAAAATATTTATGGGCTACATAAGATCTTAAGTGTGGAAGTATTAAAGCCAATAAAAACCAACACATCTGATAACTTAGTTAAATATGAAATATAGTTCCTCATTCTAATTGCTCTAGTTTGTTTATTTTGTAGGGTTTCCAGGTATATATAAGATGGCAATGACCTTTAAAAAAAACCTTCTTTAATTTTAGGTTATTGATTCTGAGTATATACATCATTACTTATGTCACATGAACGCTTACTTTCTACAGATGTTTAACAACATGGGAAAGGTATTATACTTAAAGCAGAGGGGTAAATGGATGTGTTGTATTAAAAGTTTAACGTAGAACTCCAATTATAACTAGTCTTTTTTTATCCTTTGATGGTAAATGTTAGAGCTACTGTCAGCTTTTTATTGCATTCTGTGTCCTTTTTGGACAGATTTACTATTGTTTCCTGTACCAGAGACAGAACAGGAAGTGAGAATAAAGCCAGGTATACACGCTTTGAATTTAGACAGCTTCTTGATGAACTGGCCGAAATTCGATGCGTGTGTGCCGGCACCTTTACGACCGGCATCCCTTGATCAGCTGATTGAAGGAGCATGTTGGAAAATTGTCGGCGAAACAGAGCTAGCAGCCAAGCTCTGTTCCGGTATTCTAACAGTGGCCGGCGGCTGCTGTCAGAATACAAAGGAAACAGAAGGAGATTCATGCTATCAATGCTTGTAAGCATTGATGGATGAATCTGTTTTATTTTCTTCATTCAGCCGGCAGGTTGAACAAAGAAAATTGAAGTTTGTATACCCGACTTAAATCTCTCCAAAGTTAAGCAAAATCCCTCTTTTGACAATTGTTATCAGACATTGCGAGATTTCCCCTCTACGTCTGCTCTGGAGGCTACTCTAAAATTATAGATTGCTCCTCATTTTTGTCCTGGGTACAACACTCACCAGAACCAATAGCAAGAGTAAATGTCCTCAACAGGTATATGGAGGGCAATAAAAAGCTGAAAGGGGTTCTTACCCTACTTGATCTTACCTACTTTACACTGAAATATAAATTTTTGGCATGTTTAACTAAAGGTAAACTATTGTAAAATGATAAATAAGCACATAAATGTGGATGAATCACTGAATGATTTGCACTAGTAACCATATTATTACAGTAGATCAGTCATCCATTTAAAATAAATGTGTTCCTAAACATTATAAATGGCATGAACTTTGTAATCAAACATTCCCCACAATATCATTAATGCTGATAGATCTTGTTTAATTAGTTAGTAATAAATACTGAAGACATGGATGTGTATTGCCGTGAATAGGACTGTTTTGTAGGAGTGATAGTTCTCTTTTATGAAACCTAATGGAAGTTAAACTAGTGGTGATTCCTAGAGCAACAAACCAGATATTTGTTTTTAAATTTTAAACTGCACTATAAAATAAAACCTGGAATCTGATTGGTTGCTATGAGCAATATCACTGTTTTGCGTTGCATTTTTCCTTTTGGTTAACTCGAGTTTTTTTATCTTGTACATGTAAGATGGAATGTTTTGAAATGGTTTAATTATTGTTATATTAAGACAGAGTAGAGCATTGGGTTTTGGTGAATCCAGAGTGCAAGGAAATACTGTGGATCCACAATATAGAAAATTACAAGGGGATAATCATCAAATGCATTATATTGAGTTAAATAACAGTTGTTATACCAAGACTAAAGCATCTCACATCTTTTCCAAGCAGTAGTATGATCTTGTACCCTGTTAGTCATTGATTAGTGCAGAAAGTCGGGAGTTTGAGGGATTTCCTTTACTGGCTAGTTTTAGATAGTAAAGATGCAAGCTTTTGGGACCCATTAGATTTCTTCTTCTTCATGCTTTACACAATTAAATGGTATAAAGCCCAAAGTAGGGTCAAATGTCAAAAGTAGATCCAAAATGGGTTCTGAAAGCTTGCATCTTAAATAACTTAAGTTACCCAGTAAAGCATGCCCCTCAAACTCTAAACCGTCTACATTTTTATCAACAAATACTTTGAGGGGAATTTATCAAAAGTGGAGCAGACAAAATCTGGAGCAGTTGCCCAGGGCAACCTATTAGCTTCTCTCTTCAGTTTGTTCAGTTAAGAATTGAAAATGACAGAGAGAAGCTGATTGGTTGCCATGCACAGCTGCTCCAGATTTTGCCTGTTCCACTTTTGATAAATTCCCCTCACTGTCTTTCTGTCCATGTTCCCTCGTGGTCCATAGTCTGTCAGTTTCATGTAATAACTTTTAGCAATGGATTAACCTTCTTCTTGTTACGATTGAACTAAACTGTACTCCATGATAAATTCAATTTTGAGAAATCTGGAAGTAACAACACTTTGCATTGTATAAGTAAGCTTTTATCTGTGAATATTAAATAAAGAATGACATTTTATGATGACGTAAAGCGCCTTTTACAGTGTGTGTGTGTGTGTGCTTTGTAACTACTCTATAAAATGTTTCTTCCTGTTTTGAAACATGTTCAGAAAATGACTTCAATCACAAAGTATTAGGCAAATAAGTATATATTTGCCCATACAACTTGGAACCGTTGTCTTTTTGTTGTTGGATGCTTTTAGACATTGTGTTTGAGGTTGAGAAGAAGCATTTAGAGGGTTCAGGGCATCGTGTCAAGTGACCATAAATATTAGCTATTAATGACTTCATTCTTAGTACAGAATTTTTATGGTGAACTTGTACTTTGCCCAAATCAGGGCTGTATTTACCATAATGGCATCTGTGGGCCAGTGCCTAGTGCAGCTGAGTTAGACTCTTTACAGTGCAAGAAATGCGAAACCAACATTAAATTATCAATTTCTCTGTATTTTCCTTTTCAAGCTGTCAGTTCTTACTCTATATGAAAAGATTCATGAAACTATTTAAACACAGTCCATCTTTTATGCATCCAGGTGCATACCTCTGGTGGTCACCTTTTATTCCATCCATAAACCCCCATTGCACACAGATTTCCTGCAGACTTGCCCCTTACAGTAGTGTAGCTATAGTAGTTATAATGGGTTTCAGAGGGTTGGCTTTAGTTATGATACAAGTTAGAAAGGAAGCATAGGGACTGTCAAGCTAAGATTATTGAACCAATCCCTGTATCAAAACTGAAGGAAAGAGGAGAATATATTGCTAGTTCATCTGTGGGGAAGGGGAAATGTGGGTGCTGTGTACAGCCAAGTGTGTAGGGGTGGAGCATAGGAGAGAAGTGCCATAATCCAGACCTCATTGTTCAGGGTCACAGGCTACGTACTTGTTTTAATTCTATAGAATACCATGGACCTACCATACACATTTCATCACAAAATCTGTTACACAAAGGCTGTCTTTTGTTTATAAAGTACAGTATATATGTATTATGCACGGAAGAAGCCTATTTTCTGTCCTTCACTGCTGATAGTATTGCACACATAACATAAAGTCATTCAGTAATAGGTCATAAAGATGATGCAATATAAAATAAAGTTACTTTTTTTTGTAGTTCTAAAAATAGTAGCCTGCAAAAACTTGTCCAGTGGGCGACAAGTTCTAATTTTGCTTTCTTCTAAAGACTTCTGGTCCCGCCTATGCACTGTGGTTCCTCCTGTTAGCTCCTGTGTCACTACTGTGTCCTGTAGTGACGTATAGCTGGCAGATGAAACCAAAGAGGGCAGTGGGGGGCACAGGCATCCAGCACACCTGAAAGTGTCAGCTATTGAAGATTCTCCTGGAGGCTGCAGCTTCTGAAGAGAGGACTCACTACCTGCTGGAGATATAATTGTTAAGGGGTTTTATTTATAATATGATATATCATTTTTAATGGCGTTTTATTTTTCAATGCTTTCACCCAGGCTTCATACAACTTTCAATTAATATGCATGCAATTTTCACATAGAAAATGGTTGAATTGTGGGTAAAAGTTGTGTGAATCTTGGGTGAAAACATTCATAAGAGTCTTCTTTTGCGGGCTGTGTATTTTAGATTTTTTCTTTAGTCGCTTTAAAAAGAGAAACATGTGCAATAACATCAGTAGCATGTCTTTATACACATTATTGAAAGATATTAAACTAGCTACTGAAAAATAACTTGGACAATTAAAATGAAAAATGAGCCATACTTTTATAACAGAATGGCAATATATTATTAATTGGTAATGTTGTCATTAATTTCCTACATAGAAAGAAAGCAATAAAGCAAACTTTGCCATTATATTTACATTCTCCGCACCACTATCTTTATTTTTCATTAGAGATTGCAGTTAGAGTTTGTGTCAGATTGTATCAACATCTAAAATGTAATTTTACTCTTTGTAATATTAAATAATGTCCAAATGAAAAAAACTCTCAATTAAAATTATTTTTCATTCGTTGAAACTATTCATATTCATTGTTATTAGAAAACTGATTTTAAAGAACAAGTTCATTTTTTTTTTAAAAACTCCCCCAGTTCCCCTCCCTAGCCCCCTTAACAAGACTAAGCTGACCAGTCCGCCGGTGTTTACTTACCTAACATTCAATTGTGGGCCCATTCACTCTATGCTTGCATTATTGTGCATTAAAGTGCAATACTTAAGTTAGCCCATTCAGTAAATGGACAGGACCAGGCATGTGCGTTGTGCGCTGCAGTGCAGGTGTATTGTTCACCTCTGTAGTAGTGCATTGGGGTGCTATTTAAAATGAATGGCACTGCTCCTCCAATCACGCAATAATGATAATTGTGGCAACACATTACCATGTTGCCTCTGTGTGAATAGGACCAAAGGGGCCAAACACATATTTGGCTTT